TTTCAATGGGTTGTCCCCTATTCATTCAATTGGGATCAGTCCCCTATTCATTTCAATTGGGATCTGGTCCCCTATTCATTTCAATTGGGATCCGGTCCCCTATTCATTTCAATTGGGATCCGGTCCCCTATTCATTTCAATTGGGATCCGGTTCCCTATTCATTTCAATTAGGATCTGGTTCCCTATTCATTTCAATTGGGATCCGGTCCCCTATTTATTTCAATTGGGATCCGGTCCCCTATTCATTTCAATTGGGATCCGGTCCCCTATTCATTTCAATTGGGATCCGGTCCCCTATTCATTTCAATTGGGATCCGGTTCCCTATTCATTTCAATTAGGATCCGGTTCCCTATTCATTTCAATTGGGATCCGGTCCCCTATTCATTTCAATTGGGATCCGGTTCCCTATTCATTTCAATTGGATCCGGTTCCCTATTCATTTCAATTGGGATCCGGTCCCCTATTCATTTCAATTGGGATCCGGTCCCCTATTCATTTCAATTGGGATCCGGTCCCCTATTAATTTCAATTGGGATCCGGTCCCCTATTTATTTCCAATTAGGATCCGGTCCCCTATTCATTTCAATTAGGATCCGGTCCCCTATTCATTTCAATTGGGATCCGGTTCCCTATTCATTTCAATTGGGATCCGGTCCCCTATTCATTTCAATTGGGATCCGGTTCCCTATTCATTTCAATTGGGATCCGGTTCCCTATTCATTTCAATTGGGATCCGGTTCCCTATTCATTTCAATTGGGATCCGGTTCCCCTATTCATTTCAATTGGGATCCGGTTCCCCTATTCATTTCATTTGGGATCCGGTTCCCTATTCATTTCAATTGGGATCCGGTTCCCTATTCATTTCAATTGAGATCCGGTTCCCTATTCATTTCAATTGGGATCCGGTCCCCTATTCATTTCAATTGGGATCCGGTTCCCTATTCATTTCAATTGGGATCCGGTTCCCTATTCATTTCAATTGGGATCCGGTTCCCCTATTCATTTCAATTGAGATCCGGTTCCCTATTCATTTCAATTGAGATCCGGTTCCCTATTCATTTCAATTAGGATCCGGTTCCCTATTCATTTCAATTGGGATCCGGTTCCCTATTCATTTCAATTGGGATCCGGTTCCCTATTCATTTCAATTGGGATCCGGTTCCCTATTCATTTCAATTGGGATCCGGTCCCCTATTCATTTCAATTGAAGATCCGGTTCCCTATTCATTTCAATTGAGATCCGGTTCCCTATTCATTTCAATTGAGATCCGGTTCCCTATTCATTTCAATTGGGATCCGGTTCCCTATTCATTTCAATTGGGATCTGGTTCCCTATTCATTTCAATTGGGATCCGGTTCCCTATTCATTTCAATTGGGATCCGGTCCCCTATTCATTTCAATTGGGATCCGGTCCCCTATTCATTTCAATTGGGATCCGGTCCCCTATTCATTTCAATTGGGATCCGGTTCCCTATTCATTTCAATTGGGATCCGGTTCCCTATTTATTTCAATTGGGATCCGGTTCCACCTATTCATTTCAATTGGGATCCGGTTCCCTATTCATTTCAATTGGGATCCGGTTCCCTATTCATTTCAATTGGGATCCGGTTCCCTATTCATTTCAATTGGGATCCGGTTCCCTATTCATTTCAATTGGGATCCGGTTCCACCTATTCATTTCAATTGGGATCCGGTTCCCTATTCATTTCAATTGGGATCCGGTTCCCTATTCATTTCAATTGGGATCCGGTTCCCTATTCATTTCAATTGGGATCCGGTTCCCTATTCATTTCAATTGAAGATCCGGTTCCCTATTCATTTCAATTGGGATCCGGTTCCCTATTCATTTCAATTGGGATCCGGTTCCCTATTCATTTCAATTGGGATCCGGTTCCCTATTCATTTCAATTGGGATCCGGTTCCACCTATTCATTTCAATTGGGATCCGGTTCCCTATTCATTTCAATTGGGATCCGGTTCCCTATTCATTTCAATTGGGATCCGGTTCCCTATTCATTTCAATTGGGATCCGGTTCCCTATTCATTTCAATTGAAGATCCGGTTCCCTCATCATTTCAATTGGGATCCGGTTCCCTATTCATTTCAATTGGGATCCGGTTCCCTATTCATTTCAATTGAAGATCCGGTTCCCTATTCATTTCAATTGGGATCCGGTTCCCTATTCATTTCATTTGGGATCCGGTTCCCTATTCATTTCAATTGGGATCCGGTTCCCTATTCATTTCAATTGAGGATCCGGTTCCCTATTCATTTCAATTGAGATCCGGTTCCCTATTCATTTCAATTGAGATCCGGTTCCCTATTCATTTCAATTGAGATCCGGTTCCCTATTCATTTCAATTGAGATCCGGTTCCCTATTCATTTCAATTGAGATCCGCTTCCCTATTCATTTCAATTAGGATCCGGATCCCTATTCATTTCAATTGGGATCCGGTTCCCTATTCATTTCAATTGGGATCCGGTTCCCTATTCATTTCAATTGAGATCCGGTTCCCTATTCATTTCAATTGGGATCCGGTTCCCTATTCATTTCAATTGGGATCCGGTTCCCTATTCATTTCAATTGAGATCCGGTCCCCTATTCATTTCAATTGGGATCCGGTTCCCTATTCATTTCAATTAGGATCCGGTCCCCTATTCATTTCAATTGGGATCCGGTCCCCTATTCATTTCAATTGGGATCCGGTCCCCTATTCATTTCAATTGAAGATCCGGTTCCCTATTCATTTCAATTGAAGATCCGGTTCCCTATTCATTCCAATTGAAGATCCGGTTCCCTATTCATTTCAATTGGGATCCGGTTCCCTATTCATTTCAATTGAGATCCGGTTCCCTATTCATCTCAATTGGGATCCGGTTCCCTATTCATTTCAATTGGGATCCGGTTCCCTATTCATTTCAATTGGGATCCGGTTCCCTATTCATTTCAATTGAGATCCGGTTCCCTATTCATCTCAATTGGGATCCGGTTCCCTATTCATTTCAATTGGGATCCGGTTCCCTATTCATTTCAATTGAGATCCGGTTCCTTATTCATCTCAATTGGGATCCGGTTCCCTATTCATTTCAATTAGGATCCGGTTCCCTATTCATTTCAATTGGGATCCGGTTCCCTATTCATTTCAATTGGGATCCGGTTCCCTATTCATTTCAATTGGGATCCGGTTCCCTATTCATTTCAACTGAAGATCCGGTTCCCCTATTCATTTCAATTGGGATCCGGTTCCCTATTCATTTCAATTAGGATCCGGTTCCCTATTCATTTCAATTAGGATCCGGTTCCCTATTCATCTCAATTGGGATCCGGTCCCCTATTCATTTCAATTGGGATCCGGTTCCCTATTCATTTCAATTGAGATCCGGTCCCCTATTCATTTCAATTGGGATCCGGTTCCCTATTCATTTCAATTGAGATCCGGTCCCCTATTCATTTCAATTGGGATCCGGTTCCCTATTCATTTCAATTAGGATCCGGTTCCCTATTCATCTCAATTGGGATCCGGTCCCCTATTCATTTCAATTGGGATCCGGTTCCCTATTCATTTCAATTGAGATCCGGTCCCCTATTCATTTCAATTGGGATCCGGTTCCCTATTCATTTCAATTGAGATCCGGTTCCCTATTCATTTCAATTGGGATCCGGTTCCCTATTCATTTCAATTGGGATCCGGTCCCCTATTCATTTCAATTGGGATCCGGTTCCCTATTCATTTCAATTGAGATCCGGTCCCCTATTCATTTCAATTGGGATCCGGTCCCCTATTCATTTCTACTGAAGATCCGGTTCCCTATTCATTTCAATTGGGATCCGGTTCCCTATTCATTTCAATTAGGATCCGGTTCCCTATTCATTTCAATTGGGATCCGGTTCCCTATTCATTTCCATCGGGATCCGGTTCCCTATTCATTTGAACAAAGGATCCGGTTCCCTATTCATTTCAATTGGTATCCGGTTCCCTATTCATTCCAATTAGGATCCGGTTCCACCTAATCATTTCCATCGGGATCCGGTTCCCTATTCATTTCAATTGAAGATCCGGTTCCCTATTCATTTCAATTGGGATCCGGTTCCCTATTCATTTCAATTAGGATCCGGTTCCCTATTCATTTCAATTGGGATCCGGTTCCTTATTCATCCCAAATAGGATCCGGTTCCACCTATTCATTTCCATCGGGATCCGGTTCCCCTATTCATCTCAACAGAGGATCCGGTTCCCTATTCATCCCAATAGAGGATCCGGTTCCCTATTCATTCCAATTAGGATCCGGTTCCACCTAATCATTTCCATCGGGATCCGGTTCCCTATTCATTTCAATTGAAGATCCGGTTCCCTATTCATTTCAATTGGGATCCGGTTCCCTATTCATTTCAATTAGGATCCGGTTCCCTATTCATTTCAATTGGGATCCGGTTCCTTATTCATCCCAAATAGGATCCGGTTCCACCTATTCATTTCCATCGGGATCCGGTTCCCCTATTCATCTCAACAGAGGATCCGGTTCCCTATTCATCCCAATAGAGGATCCGGTTCCCTATTCATTCCAATTAGGATCCGGTTCCACCTAATCATTTCCATCGGGATCCGGTTCCCTATTCATTTCAATTGAAGATCCGGTTCCCTATTCATTTCAATTGGGATCCGGTTCCCTATTCATTTCAATTAGGATCCGGTTCCCTATTCATTTCAATTGGGATCCGGTTCCTTATTCATCCCAAATAGGATCCGGTTCCACCTATTCATTTCCATCGGGATCCGGTTCCCCTATTCATCTCAACAGAGGATCCGGTTCCCTATTCATCCCAATAGAGGATCCGGTTCCCTATTCATTCCAATTAGGATCCGGTTCCACCTAATCATTTCCATCGGGATCCGGTTCCCTATTCATTTCAATTGAAGATCCGGTTCCCTATTCATTTCAATTGGGATCCGGTTCCCTATTCATTTCAATTAGGATCCGGTTCCCTATTCATTTCAATTGGGATCCGGTTCCTTATTCATCCCAAATAGGATCCGGTTCCACCTATTCATTTCCATCGGGATCCGGTTCCCCTATTCATCTCAACAGAGGATCCGGTTCCCTATTCATCCCAATAGAGGATCCGGTTCCCTATTTATCACAACGGAGGATCCGGTTCCTGCTCTTCAGACTCACCCCGGGGCAAGATGGCGGACCGCCTAACTCAGCTTCAGGACGCCGTGAACTCCGTAAGCGTCTCTCTCTCCATCTCTCCCCGTCTCTCTCCGCGGATTTAAACTCTCGGCGCGAGGCGGGCGGGCGGTCTCCCCGAGGGAACTGGCGTCGGCGCCGCTTGAGATTACATCCCGATAATACAAAGAATAATCGGCCGAAGCCGCTTGCCTAGAAACCATAGCGGGAAGCCTGCGTTAGGCCCTCGGCGACTCGTGGTGGGGGAGGGGGGGTCGGTCGCCCAGGTTGAGATGACATCCCAACGGTATAAACATAGACGGCCTAAGCCACTGGCCTAGAAACCCTAGCGGGAAGCCTGCGTTAGGCCCTCGGCGACTCGAGGTCGGGGAGGGAGGGTGGGTCGCCCAGTTTGAGATGACATCCAAACGGTATAAACTTAGGCGGCCTCAGCCACTCGCCTAGAAACCCTAGCGGGAAGCCTGCGTTAGGCCCTCGGCGACTCGTGGTCGGGGAGGGGGGGGGGGGTCACGCCGGTTGAGATTAGTGGCTAAGAGATGTTGACTACCTCGCCTGGTCTACAGGAGGTCGTGGGTTCGATCCCGACCCTGACGATGTCTGCTGCTGTTGTATATTTGGAGTCTGCGTGTCTCTCATCATCATCACGGTGGCTAGGAGATGTTGACTACCTCGCCTGGTGTGTAGGAGGTCGTGAGTTCGATCCCGACCCTGACGACGTCTGCTGCTGTTGTATATTTGGAGTCTGCGTCTCTATCTGTCATCATCATCATCGTCATCACGGTGGCTAGGAGATGTTAACTACCTCGCCTGGTACACAGGAGGTCGTGGGTTCGATCCCGACCCTGACAATATTTGGAGTCTGCGTCTCTCTCATCATCATCATCACGGTGGCTAGGAGATGTTGACTACCTCGCCTGGTTACGCAGGAGGTCGTGGGTTCGATCACGACCCTGACGATGCCTGCTGCTGTTGTATATTTGGAGTTTGCGTCTCTCTCTCTCTCTCATCATCATCACGGTGGCTAGGAGATGTTGACTACCTCGCCTGGTGTGCAGGAGGTCGTGGGTTCGATTTGGAGTCTGCGTCTCGCATCATCATCACGTGGCTAGGAGATGTTGACTACCTCGCGTGGTATACAAGAGTTTCTGGGTTCGATCCCGACCCTGACAATATTTGGAGTCTGCGTCTTTCTCCTCCGTGGTGGTCACTGAGTGGTGGTTTTGTCTCCATGTCGTCCTCCGGGTTTCCTCTCCACACGTTGACGTCGTTTATTGTGAAAAATCGGTCACAGTTCCTATGATCACTGCACTGTTTCATTGCTTTGATGGCTTTATTTTGGTGATTTTTGAAAAGTGTATTGGTTTGGCCATGTTTGTGTTGTTGTAGTACAGAGTTAGACTGATGGCCGTAATCTAAGTTGTCTTGTGGTTGTTGTTGTTGTTGTTTGTGTTGTTGTAGTACAGAGTTAGACTGATGGTCTTAATCTAAGTTGTCTTGTGGTTGTTGTTGTTGTTGTTTGTGTTGTTGTAGTACAGAGTTAGACTGATGGCCTTAATCTAAGTTGTCTTGTGGTTGTTGTTGTTGTTTGTGTTGTTGTAGTACAGAGTTAGACTGATGGTCTTAATCTAAGTTGTCTTGTGTTGTTGTTGTTGTTGTTTGTGTTGTTGTAGTACAGAGTTAGACTGATGGCCTTAATCTAAGTTGTCTTGTGGTTGTTGTTGTTGTTGTTTGTGTTGTTGTAGTACAGAGTTAGACTGATGGTCTTAATCTAAGTTGTCTTGTGGTTGTTGTTGTTGTTGTTGTTTGTGTTGTTGTAGTACAGAGTTAGACTGATGGCCTTAATCTAAGTTGTCTTGTGGTTGTTGTTGTTGTTGTTTGTGTTGTTGTAGTACAGAGTTAGACTGATGGTCTTAATCTAAGTTGTCTTGTGGTTGTTGTTGTTGTTGTTTGTGTTGTTGTAGTACAGAGTTAGACTGATGGTCTTAATCTAAGTTGTCTTGTGGTTGTTGTTGTTGTTGTTTGTGTTGTTGTAGTACAGAGTTAGACTGATGGCCTTAATCTAAGTTGTCTTGTGGTTGTTGTTGTTGTTGTTGTTTGTGTTGTTGTAGTACAGAGTTAGACTGATGGCCTTAATCTAAGTTGTCTTGTGGTTGTTGTTGTTTGTGTTGTTGTAGTACAGAGTTAGACTGATGGCCTTAATCTAAGTTGTCTTGTGGTTGTTGTTGTTGTTTGACTTGCATCCCACTGGGATTTTTGCACACAGCGTTGGTGTACGGTGCTTTTTCTGCAATATTTTGCTGTCTTTTCTTGGATTTTCTGTTTGCACTTGGTCACATATTCACTACAAGATGTTTTCTTGTTCATGTTTTTGTTTTTTGTTTGTTGCGGTTGCACCCGATTCAAAAGCCGAATGGCTCACAACATCACGCGTTTAGAGTATTTGGCTGCTGCTATAAAAACGACGACGACGATGATGACATTAGCCAACTTTGTGAGCTGCTATTGATCGTGACGAAAATCTGTATTTATCCTGGAGGAATCCAAATAGCTATGAAGCTCTTTTTTGTCGCATGTCAAGGACCGAGATGACTGGCTGAGGCACCACCTGTGCCCCCTACTGCGCCAACTTGCTGTGCTTTAGCCACCCGGCGCTCCGCTCGTTGTTGTGAGCGTCGCTCCTCCGCCCTCCGTTGTTGTTGGAGGGCGACTGCCTCCAACTGCCCAGTAGCGTCCTTCACGCACACATGCACACGCACACATGCACACATGCACACGCACACACGCACACATGCACACACACACGCACACACACACGTACACGCAAACACGTACTCACACGCACGTACTCACACGTGTACACGCAAACACGTACTCGCGCACACGTACAACAACAACAACCGCCATTCGCCACTAAGTGGCGGTGACGTCACCACGACGCTTGTGCCAGGCCAAGTGCACCTTGAGGCCACGTGAAGTGTCAAACGCCCGCTGGCAGGAGGTCACGGGGCAGACCCAGCAGGTGCCACGGGTCGACTGACCGAGATGACCGAGATGACTGGCTGATGCACCACCTGTGCCCCCTACTGCGCCAACTCGCTGTGCTTTAGCCACCCGGCGCTCCGCTCGTTGTTGTGAGCGTCGCTCCTCCGCCCTCCGTTGTTGTTGGAGGGCGACTGCCTCCAACTGCCCAGTAGCGTCCTTCACGCACACATGCACACGCACACATGCACACACACACGTACACGCAAACACCTACTCGCGCACACGTACAACAACAACAACCGCCATTCGCCACTAAGTGGCGGTGACGCCACCACGACGCTTGTGCCAGGCCATGTGCACCTTGAGGCACGCACACACACGTGCACACACACGTACACGCAAACACATACTCGTACACACGTACACACACACACGTTCTAACACGTACCTCTGTGTGTTGTCGTCCCCCTCTGTGTGCCCCCCCCTCTGTGCCCCCCCCTTTGTGCCCCCCCCTCTGTGCCCCCCCCTTTGTGCCCCCCCCCTCTGTGCCCCCCCCCCCATCTCTGTGTCAGATGGCCGACCACTTCTGCAACGCGGTGGGGGTGCTGCAGCAGTGCGCGCCCCCCACGTTCTTCCCCAACACGCAGAGCGCCGCACACAAGGAGGTGCCGCTCGCCGCCTCCTCCTCCTCGCAGGAAGGTGAAAGAGCACGGGGGGGGTCCATCACAGAGGGGGGGTCCATCACAGAGGGGGGTTCATCACAGAGAGGGGGTTCATCACAGAGGGGGGTTCATCACAGAGGGGGGGTTCATCACAGAGGGGGGGTTCATCACAGAGAGTGGGGGTCCATCACAGAGGGGGGTTCATCACAGAGGGGGGGTTCATCACAGAGGGGGGGTCCATCACAGAGAGGGGGTTCATCACAGAGGGGGGTTCATCACAGAGGGGGGGTCCATCACAGAGGGGGGTTCATCACAGAGGGGGGTTCATCACAGAGGGGGGTTCATCACAGAGAGGGGGTTCATCACAGAGGGGGGTCCATCACAGAGGGGGGTTCATCACAGAGGGGGGTTCATCACAGAGGGGGGTTCATCACAGAGGGGGGTTCATCACAGAGGGGGGTTCATCACAGAGGGGGGTTCATCACAGAGGGGGGTTCATCACAGAGGGGGTTCATCACAGAGGGGGGTTCATCACAGAGGGGGGGTTCATTACAGAGGGGGGGTTCATCACAGAGGGGGGTTCATCACAGAGGGGGGTTCATCACAGAGGGGGGTTCATCACAGAGGGGGGTTCATCACAGAAGGGGGTTCATCACAGAGGGGGGTTCATCACAGAGGGGGGGTCATCACAGAGGGGGGGTCATCACAGAGGGGGGTTCATCACAGAGGGGGGTTCATCACAGAGGGGGGGTTCATCACAGAGGGGGGTTCATCACAGAGGGGGGTTCATCACAGAGGGGGGTCTATCACAGAGAGGGGGTCCATCACAGAGGGGGGGTTCATCACAGAGGGGGTTCATCACAGAGAGGGGGTCCATCACAGATGGGGGTTCATCACAGAGAGGGGGTCTATCACAGAGAGGGGGTTCATCACAGAGAGGGGGTCCATCACAGAGGGGGGTCCATCACAGAGGGGGGGGGGTCCATCACAGAGAGGGGGTTCATCACAGAGGGGGGGTCCATCACAGAGGGGGGGTTCATTACAGAGGGGGGGTCCATCACAGAGGGGAGGGGGTCCATCACAGAGGGGGGGTTCATCACAGAGGGGGGGTCCATCACAGAGGGGGGGTCCATCACAGAGGGGGGTCCATCACAGAGAGGGGGGGGTCCATCACAGAGAGGGGGTTCATCACAGAGGGGGGGGTCATCACAGAGGGGGGTTCATCACAGAGGGGGGTTCATCACAGAGGGGGGTTCATCACAGAGAGGGGGTCTATCACAGAGAGGGGGTTCATCACAGAGAGGGGGTCCATCACAGAGGGGGGTCCATCACAGAGAGGGGGGGGTCCATCACAGAGAGGGGGTTCATCACAGAGGGGGGGATCATCACAGAGGGGGGGGGTCCATCACAGAGGGGGGTCCATCACAGAGGGGGGTTCATCACAGAGGGGGGTTCATCACAGAGGGGGGGTTCATCACAGAGGGGGGTTCATCACAGAGGGGGGTTCATCACAGAGGGGGGGTCCATCACAGAGGGGGGGTCCATCACAGAGGGGGGCTATCACAGAGAGGGGTCCATCACAGAGGGGGGGTTCATCACAGAGGGGGTTCATCACAGAGAGGGGGTTCATCATAGAGGGGGGTTCATCACAGAGGGGGGTTCATCACAGAGGGGGGTTCATCACAGAGGGGGGTCCATCACAGAGGGGGGTCCATCACAGAGGGGGGTTCATCACAGAGGGGGGTTCATCACAGAGGGGGGTTCATCACAGAGGGGGGTTCATCACAGAGGGGGGTTCATCACAGAGGGGGGTTCATCACAGAGGGGGGTTCATCACAGAGGGGGGTCATCACAGAGGGGGGTTCATCACAGAGGGGGGTTCATCACAGAGGGGGGTTCATCACAGAGGGGGGTTCATCACAGAGGGGGGTTCATCACAGAGGGGGGTTCATCACAGAGGGGGGTTCATCACAGAGGGGGGTCCATCACAGAGGGGGGGTTCATCACAGAGGGGTTCATCACAGAGGGGGGTTCATCACAGAGGGGTCCATCACAGAGGGGGGGTTCATCACAGAGGGGGGGTCCATCACAGAGGGGGGGTCCATCACAGAGGGGGGTTCATCACAGAGGGGGGTCTATCACAGAGAGGGGTCTATCACAGAGAGGGGGTTCATCACAGAGAGGGGGTTCATCACAGAGAGGGGGTCCATCACAGAGAGGGGTCCATCTCAGAGAGGGGGTCCATCACAGAGAGGGGGTCCATCACAGAGAGGGGGTTCATCATAGAGGGGGGTTCATCACAGAGGGGGGTTCATCACAGAGGGGGGTTCATCACAGAGGGGGGGGGTCCATCACAGAGGGGGGTTCATCACAGAGGGGGGGGGTTCATCACAGAGGGGGGGTTCATCACAGAGGGGGGGGGGGTCCATCACAGAGGGGGGGTCCATCACAGAGGGGGGTTCATCACAGAGGGGGGGTCATCACAGAGGGGGGATCATCACAGAGGGGGGTTCATCACAGAGAGGGGGTTCATCACAGAGGGGGGTCCATCACAGAGGGGGGATTCATCACAGAGGGGGGGTCCATCACAGAGGGGGGTTCATCACAGAGGGGGGGGGTTCATCACAGAGGGGGGTCCATCACAGAGGGGGGGGGGGTCCATCACAGAGGGGGGTCCATCACAGAGGGGGTCCATCACAGAGGGGGGTCCATCACAGAGAGGGGGTCCATCACAGAGGGGGGGCGGAGGGTCTTGTTGGGTTGAGGCGGAGTGATGATCAACGCAGCAACCACCACCCACACCACCATCGCCACCATCACCCACACCACCCACCCAAACCACCCACACCACCCACAACAACCACGCCACCTACACCGCACTACCCACGCCACCCGCACCACCCACACCACCCACGCCACCGCCACCCACGTCACCCACACCACCCACGCCACCCACCCACGCCACCCATGCCACCGCAACCCACACCAACCACCCACACCACCCACGTCACCCACACCACCCACGCCACCCACCCACGTCACCCACCCACGTCACCCACACCACCCACACCGCTCTGTGTGTGTGTCTCTGCGTGTGTCTCTGCGTGTGTGTCTCTGTGTGTGTATCTCTGTCTGTGTGTGTGTGTCTGCGTGTATGTTTGTGTGCGTGTCTGTGCATGTATCTCTGTATGTATCTCTGTGTGTGTATCTGCGTGCGTGTCTCTGTGTGTATCTCTGTGTGTGTCTCTGTGTGTATCTGCGTGTATGTCTGTGTGTGTCTCTGCATGTGTCTCTGTGTGTGTCTCTGTGTGTGTCTCTGCGTGTATGTCTGTGTGTGTGTATCTGCGTGCGTGTCTCTGCATGTGTCTCTGTGTGTATCTCTGTGTGTGTATCTGCGTGTATGTCTGTGTGCGTGTCTCTGCGTGTGTGTCTCTGTGCGTGTCTGTGCGTGTATCTCTGTGTGTGTCACTGCATGTGTCTCTGTGTGTGTATCTGCGTGTATGTCTGTGTGCGTGTCTCTGCGTGTGTGTCTCTGTGCGTGTCTGTGCGTGTATCTCTGTGTGTGTCTCTGCATGTGTCTCTGTGTGTATCTCTGTGTGTGTCTCTGCGTGTATCTCTGTGTGTGTCTCTGTGTACATCTCTGAATGTGTCTCTGTGTGTGTCTCTGTGTGTGTCTCTGTGTACATCTCTGAATGTGTCTCTGTGTGTGTCTCTGTGTGTGTCTCTGTGTGTGTTTCTGTGTACATCTCTGAATGTGTCTCTGTGTGTGTCTCTGTGTGTCTCTGTGCGTGTATCTCTGCGTGTATCTCTGTGTGTGTCTCTGCATGTGTGTCTGTGTGTGTCTCTGTGTGTGTCTCTGTGTGTGTCTCTGTGTGTGTTTCTGTGTACATCTCTGAATGTGTCTCTGTGTGTGTCTCTGTGTGTCTCTGTGCGTGTATCTCTGCGTGTATCTCTGTGTGTGTCTCTGCATGTGTGTCTGTGTGTGTCTCTGTGTGTGTCTCTGTGTGTGTCTCTGTGTGTGTGTCTGCGTGTAGAGTACTCCCAGCTGTTTGCGACGCTGATCGCACGCACAGCCAAGGATATTGATGTCCTCATCGTGTGTCTCTGTATGTGTCTCTGTGTGTGTCTCTGTGTGTGTGTCTCTGTGTGTGTGTCTCTGTGTGTGTGTCTCTGTGTGTCTCTGTGTGTGTCTCTGTGTGTGTCTGCGTGTGTGTCTGTGTGTGTGACTCTGTGTGCGTGTCTGCGTGTATGTCTGTGTGTGTGTGTGTCTGTATGTGTCTCTGTGTGTGTCTCTGCGTGTAGAGTACTCCCAGCTGTTTGCGACGCTGATCGCGCGCACGGCCAAGGATATTGATGTCCTCATCGACTCGCTGCCGAGCGAGGAGTCGACCGCCGCCCTGCAGGTAGCAGCTTGCACCAACTAACAACAACAACAACTAACAACAACAACTAACAACAACAACAACAACTAACAACAACAACTAACAACAACAACTAACAACTAACAACAACAACAACTAACAACAACAACAACAACCTGCACCACCCACTCACAACAACAACAACAACGACCTGCACCACCAACTAACAACAACAACTAACAACAACAACATCAACAACCTGCACCACCCACTCACAACAACAACAACAACAACCTGCACCACCCACTCACAACAACAACAACAACGACCTGCACCACCAACTAACAACAACAACTAACAACAACAACAACAACCTGCACCACCCACTCACAACAACAACAACAACCTGCACCACCCACTCACAACAACAACAGCAACCTGCACCACCAACTAACAACAACAACAACAACCTGCACCACCCACTCACAACAACAACAACAACCTGCACCACCCACTCACAACAACCTGCACCACCCACTCACAACAACAACAACGACCTGCACCACCCACTCACAACAACCTGCACCACCCACTCACAACAACAACAACAACCTGCACCACCCACTCACAACAACCTGCACCACCAACTAACAACAACAACAACAACTAACAACAACAACAACCTGCACCACCAACTAACAACAACAACTAACAACAACAACAACCTGCACCACCCACTCAAAACAACAACGTCCTACACCACCCACTCACAACAACAACAACAACAACCTGCACCACCCACTCACAACAACAACCTGCACCACCCACTCACAACAACAACAACCTGCACCACCCACTCACAACAACAACAACCTGCACCACCAACTAACAACAACAACTTGCACCACTCACAACAACAACAACAACCTACACCACCCACTCACAACAACAACAACAACCTGCACCACCCACTCACAACAACAACAACGTTCTACACCACCAACTAACAACAACTAACAACAACAACCTGCACCACCCACTCACAACAACAACAACCTACACCACCCACTCACAACAACAACCTGCGCCACCCACCCACTCACAACAACAACAACAACAACTTGCACCACCCACTCACAACAACAACAACAACCTACACCCACCCACTCACAACAACAACAACAGCACCACCACGTGGAGGCTACTGCTGCTGCTGCTTGTACACACGGCGTCTCACCCCCCCCCACCCCCCACACCTCCCCGCCCCCACCCCCACCCACCCCCACCCCCACCCACCTCCCCACCCACCCCCACCCACCCCCACCCACCCCACACACCTCCCCACCCACCCCCACCCACCCCCACACACCTCCCCCCCGTGCCCCAGGCCGCGAGCCTCCGCCGCCTGGAGGAGGAGAACGTGGAGGCGGCCGCGCTCCTGGTGGAGGTGGTGGGGCGTGGCGAGGCGCTGCTGGCGCGCGTACAGGCGGCGCTCGCAGACATCGCCGAGTCCCAGCTCAGCACCAGACACTCCCTCCTCGCCCCATCACCATCCTCCACCTCCACCTCCTCCGGCACCGCGGCTACCGGCCCGGCTACGGCGGCTACAGCGGCCGCGGCACCGGCGACAGCGCCGGCGGTACCGACCGCTGCCGCCGCCACTGCCGCCGCGCCCGAAACAACGGCGCTACCCCCGCCACCGCCGCCAGCGAACGTCAACGCTTCGCATCAGCAGCACCAGCAGCAGCAGCAGCATCAGCAGCATCAGCAGCAGCAGCAGCAGCACCAGCAGCAGCAGCAGGAGGGGAAGGGGACATCCGAAGCGCTGCTGGATCGGTGAAGCGGCATGATGAGCGTGGTGGGCTGCGTGCCGTGCGAAAGAAGTTCCACGTTAGGAGGGGCTCCTCCCTCACGCGAACGGGTTGCGTTCCGGAGGTCTGCGTGCGTAAGTCGATTTCGTAAGTCCCAACTTTCATCCTCGAGATTCCAGATGCAGCTGTGTGCGGCGTGGACACTGAGCACGGGGGAATGGTTTCAAAAGTTGTATAATTTACTATAGATGTAGGTGCCGCTGGTTCTTCACGTTCTGTAGATGCCACTGGTTCTTCACGTTCTGTAGATGCCACTGGTTCTTCATGTAATGCAGATGTAGATGCCGCTGGTTCTTCACGTTCTGTAGATGCCACTGGTTCTTCACGTTCTGTAGATGCCACTGGTTCTGCAGATGTAGATGCCACTGGTTCTTCATGTAATGCAGATGTAGATGCCGCTGGTTCTTCACGTTCTGTAGATGCCACTGGTTCTGCAGATGTAGATGCCGCTGGTTCTTCACGTTCTGTAGATGCCACTGGTTCTTCTTGTTCTGTAGATGCCACTGGTTCTTCATGTAATGCAGATGTAGATGCCGCTGGTTCTTTACGTTCTGTAGATGCCACTGGTTCTTCTTGTTCTGTAGATGCCACTGGTTCTTCATGTAATGCAGATGTAGATGCCGCTGGTTCTTCACGTTCTGTAGATGCCACTGGTTCTTCACGTTCTGTAGATGCCACTGGTTCTTTACGTTCTGTAGATGCCACTGGTTCTTCACGTTCTGTAGATGCCACTGGTTCTTCACGTTCTGTAGATGCCGCTGGTTCTTTACGTTCTGTAGATGCCACTGGTTCTTTACGTTCTGTAGATGCCACTGGTTCTTCACGTTCTGTAGATGCCACTGGTTCTTCACGTTCTGTAGATGCCACTGGTTCTTCACGTTCTGTAGATGCCACTGGTTCTTTACGTTCTGTAGATGCCGCTGGTTCTTCACGTTCTGTAGACGCCACTGGTTCTTCACGTTCTGTAGATGCCACTGGTTCTTTACGTTCTGTAGATGCCACTGGTTCTTCACGTTCTGTAGATGCCACTGGTTCTTCACGTTCTGTAGATGCCACTGGTTCTTTCTGTTCTGTAGATACCGCTGGTTCTTCACGTTCTGTAGATGCCACTGGTTCTTTACGTTCTGTAGATACCGCTGGTTCTTCACGTTCTGTAGATGCCACTGGTTCTTCACGTTCTGTAGATGCCACTGGTTCTTTACGTTCTGTAGATGCCACTGGTTCTTCATGTAATGCAGATGTAGATGCCACTGGTTCTTCACGTTCTGTAGATGCCACTGGTTCTTCACGTTCTGTAGATGCCACTGGTTCTTCACGTTCTGTAGATGCCACTGGTTCTTCACGTTCTGCAGATGTAGATGCCACTGGTTCTTCACGTTCTGCAGATGTAGATGCCACTGGTTCTTCACGTTCTGCAGATGTAGATGCCACTGGTTCTTCACGATCTGTAGATGCCACTGGTTCTTCACGTTCTGTAGATGCTACTGGTTCTTCGCGTTCTGCAGCTGTAGATGCCACTGGTTCTTCGCGTTCTGCAGCTGTAGATGCCACTGGTTCTTCACGTTCTGTAGATGCCACTGGTTCTTCACGTTCTGCAGCTGTAGATGCCACTGGTTCTTCCCGTTCCGCAGCTGTGGATGCCACCACCACCGCCCTCTATTTCGCAGCTGTTGAACTTAACGACTCTCGCTCCGGACAACCAACTGGACTTAACGCACCGGGTTTTTGTTACTATCTCTGAAAGTTCGTAAGTGGAGGAGTCCCTGCGCATCGTACGAAAAGGAGTTTCAACGCACACGCAAAGGAGCTATCGACTCTCATCGCGCAAAGTCCGGTAAAAATCTCTCGGCGGCGGAAACAGCGGCTGCCGATGGAACGACGGCTGTGGTTTCACCGCATGAATTCTAGATTTGCAGCTTTCGTTACTGCAAGGATTCATACTTTTAGTTTTTTCGGTAAAGTCACGTATACGCTCAAGGTGCGGGGTCCTGTCTACGATGGAGGAAGATGTTGACCACCTCGCCTGGTGTACGGGAGGTCGTGGGTTCGATCCCGACCCTGACGCCTGACGCAGCGAATCTGGCTGTGACGGTCCCGTCTACGATGTAGCAAGATGTTGACCACCTCGCCTGGTGTACGGGAGGTCGTGGGTTCGATCCCGACCCTGACGCCTGACGCAGCGAATCTGGCTGTGACGGTCCCGTCTACGATGTAGCAAGATGTTGACCACCTCGCCTGGTGTACGGGAGGTCGTGAGTTCGATCCCGACCCTGACGCCTGATACAGCGAATCTGGCTGTGACGGTCCCGTCTACGATGTAGCAAGATGTTGACCACCTCGCCTGGTGTACGGGAGGTCGTGGGTTCGATCCCGACCCTGACGCCTGATACGGCAAATCTGGCTGTGACGGTC